CCGTGCCCGTTTTGCAGTCAGTCGTATATCGCATCACTGTGAGCATATTATGCCATTTATGCGATTTTTCTTTTCCTCTTAATTTTGCCTACCATTGAGCCATTCCATTTTTTATTTTTCCCTTAACCCGGCTTTTCGTATTTTTCATATCATACAATGTGAAATGTTTTCACCCTATTTCGTTTGATTTGTTGAAGAAATGGTTGTTAAACTTTCCCACAATTATATGGGTAGATCTTACGTTTCCATTAAATTTTACATAACCTTGTTTCCCAAACGGTATTCTCACTCAATGTAGACATAAGTTTCGACCTCGCCTAAGTCCCCAGCGGGGCTCGAACCATGAAACTGCAGTGTATAATAACGACACGTTAGCAATTACGCTATATTGCCACGAGTGCCCTTGGGTCGCAGGGCGGCTGCGAAATTCTAGCAAGGCTAAACATTTTCCCATATCGCATTCTGTGGTGGGATTATCAAGGAAGCGAAGTTGTGTTCGCTATAACAATCGACTACATGACTTATTTTTCTTTTTTTAACAAGGGTTTTGTGACTACCAGTAGATCAGATTAATTAGATATGATCATCTTATTGATTTTAAGGTGCTAAAGGACTAATAGTTGAATTTTCCCACATTGTTATGGGTAGACCTTACGCTTCTGGTGAATTTCACATAACCTTGCGTCCCATAAGCTATTTTCATCCCGAATAAACTGCGGTTTAGACCCAACCTAGGCACATCTTATATGAGAATACCTTTTGGAAAGGAAGGCAAAGTGAAATTAAATGGTAATGTACGGTCTACCCATATCACATAGGAAAATTCAACTCCTATTTATAAATCATCTTAAACGAAATGGGGTAAACACATCTCATTAACCTGATTTGCCGATAGTTTAAAACCCTGCTTACAAAACAAAATATATGCAATATCCTCTGTCATTATAAAATATCTAAGCTAAAGCTTCAATCTGGAACATGCTTCGGAAGTTATTTAAAATTTACGTTAGACCTCTTTTGGCGTATTACGACAATCTTTTGTTATGCTTCATAGATTTCATTTAGTTAAACCAATGCATTTCAACACTTCTCTCATCAGTTGTAAGCTCATTACTATATTGTGTGTAGAGTGGGCTGTTGCTGCTTGCGGGTCAAGGATCTTGCAAGCTAAATAATTCAAAAAGTAAGAGCCGTCCTCCGCTTGTATCGAAGCATTGTGAATGGCCTCCAGTCACCTTGTTAGTACATCTACGGAATGCCAATACAGGCTATTTTTGTATCGCTTTAATTACCTTTCAATTATTTCACAAATCGTGATTATCTATAATAATCTCCGTTTTTTATAATTCCATTTCCATTATCAGTTTTTATTTCACTTCCATTAGTAAATCAAATTAATTTATCTATATTCTTAAGGCTGCCTATGATAGCTCTGACAGGATGGCCGATATAACTTCCTTCAGGACATTGGCCCATCTTGTTCGCATTTCGGATGCCTACGAACAATCCGCTGAGCCTGCAAATGCTAAATCATGCACTTCATTTCCTTTAGAAGAAGCAAGCAATACTTGTTCACCTGCAATTATTCCCTACTCGGTTGGTGGCTCACGTCAATTGTTATTGGAGGTCCCTGGGGAGGCGTCTCTTTTCACTACGCCGGCTGTCGCCGTATCTGCAACCACCAAACCAGTCTCTCCCTTTACCCCTTCCCAATCTGATTCTGGCTCCGTCTCTGTTACAACACAGGATGAGTCTGAGATAGTAGATGTGGGTAGGCCAGTTTCTACAACTCATCCTCCTCCTGAAACAGGTAATACTAAAGCATAGATGTTGTTTGACCTTGTTTTCCAACTTGGCCGTATTGACAGGGTGACATAGTGGAACGCATCTTGTCCAGAGTCCATAGTATGCATGATAATTTACAGAGTTTGACCGTGTACTTGATAGATCCCCAGACGTTTCGCCGGAATCATCAGTGAAATCTTAGCACTGATGCCATTCAAAGAGACAAGTGAAGTCGATCCTTTGACCAATTGTCTGCTAAACAGTTGTAGTTCTCTCCTTCTGTCCTGGTGTATTTACCTCCCTCATAACATCGTAATTCCCCTTCACGATTTCTTGCTTATTCAAATCTAGTTCTGATGTGACCTTATTAACGAATCTAGTAAGACCTTTTCACACTTCTCATTAGCCTTCTCATGAACCCACTGTGCTAGGAGTTTTGATCCGAGTCTGCACTATTAGTCTGCAATCCTCTTCTTCCAGGTCCTACCAGAGTCCTCTTGCCCCATTAAATCCTTCTCTTATCTGGCTGCTTCAATGATTTAACTCGGTCTCCGCCACCATGTCTGCGCTTCTTGAGG